AAACATTTGGGATAATGTAAGCACACAAGTCAGCAAAATATATAACACTGTTCTATTGGTTTTTGGATATTTTAATAAAAAAATATTACAGTGCCTTTAAGACAGCCATAAATATTGAAATATTACAGTTAAAATGTAAAAAATATAGTAATTTTTGCATTTATTTAGTAACAACAACAACAAATATAGCTGCAAGCAGTAATTAAGGGGCCAAGCACTACAGAAGCAAAACATCAGACCAACTGCAGCAATGAGTAATTGAAGCCATTTTAGTCAAAATGCCTGAAAAATCAAATACATCCACTAGTAATATGATTTAATGGCTTATCACTTTTGACCAATAGGTGGCGGTGTCATCAAATCGATGTGGTGTGTTCTGTGTGAGGTGACAATGGCACACACACAGTTTGGTGTCAATATGTCAAAGCTTTGCTGAGATACAGCCTCAGACGTAGTCTGGCATCATGCCTCAAATTTGTTGCGGTGCTATACAAAAACGGTTTTGTCTGTCAACACGAAATCTGTAACTTTTTGCCAGCATTGTCTGAAGATGATCTGAGCCAATTTTGGTGAAAATCAGACAAACCGTCTAGGACAAGTTTGAAATTTTTTTCAAACGATTAAAAAAATCCCTAAAAATCTTGACCCATGGAATTTAAAATTTTGGTACTGAAGATGAGCTGAGCCAATTTTGGTGAAAATCAGACAAACCGTCTAGGACAAGTTCGAAATTTTTTTTCAAACTATTAAAAAAATCCCTAAAAATCTTGACCCATGGAATTTAAAATTTTGGTGTCCATTTGACGCGGCATGAGCCAAGAAACTTTATGGCTCAAAAGTTATTAGCATAAATATACAGTGGGGCAAATAAGTATTTGATACACTGCCGATTTTTCAAGTTTTCCCACTTACAAAGAATGGAGAGAGTCTCTCACAGTTGAGGTGTACCTACGATGGAAATTACAGATCTCTCCATTCTTTGTAAGTGGGAAAACTTGAAAAATCGGCAGTGTATCAAATACTTATTTGCCCCACTGTAAGTGCAACTTTGAGCTGTTGGTGGTGCTAGAGGGTCTGAGTTAGAGACTCCAAACTTGCTATGGTGACCGATCAGACTGTCCTCTATCTGTGCGCCAAATTTCATAACTTTCCCACAAGCTGCTCTATGGGCTGCTATAGACTTCCAGAGCGGAAGGCGGCGGCGGCCTGGATACTAGTAAAATCTGTATATTGAATAATACGTGTCAAATAATGTTCCTAGTCTTTTCTTCCTGCGGGGGAAGCATCCCAGCCAGAAACTACAATTGTTTACTATCAATTCAATGGAAATTAAACTAAATACAATTTATTGTGTAACCAAAATACCAATAAGTTTAAGTGTGACTTTTAATTATAAACAACCCCGAAATACACCGGGACTCTTATTTTGAAATATCTATACTATTGCAGGCTAAAATATGCATACTTACAACAGTTTAAAACCTATTATATAAATATCATAAAGTTGACTATCATAATTCATCAACTAGAGTTCATAAGCAATTGCTTGGCATAAATGTGCGCTATTCATTGACTGAGAATCACTTTGAAGCAGTCTGAACTCTGAAGCGCCGCCTTGTGACACTGCAGAACTCTTTTTTCAAATCTAGGCAAATCATGCAACCCTAGATTACAGTGAGTTTCTGACTATCTTTTTTCACTCTTTATCTACATGTGGGAGTGTAAGGAAAACGAATTTACAAAAGGAACAAACCATGGGTTGAAGAACACTGTAAAGGGCAAAAGCTAGAGGACAGGCTGACCTGGAAGATCTCTTTCAGGTCCTGTACCGTGGCCTCGAGCTTGATGACGGGAATCTTCCCAGCTGCCATCTGCTTACACCTCTGCTCCACGTCCAACAGAGAGAGAGCGCTACGACACACACAGCACTGCAGCTCAGCTAGATGTCACTACTTAGTTTAAAGCATCTCAAATAAACAGCAGGTAAAGTACAGTCGACTACTGGCTCACATCAGGGGCTGGAAAGGGAACAGACGGTGTTTACTTGTTTTGGAGCTGGTAATCACAGTACAGGCCCGTGTCAGAGACTCCCTCTCGACACACGCGAGCGCTGAAGAGATTCTCCATCACACTCGCTAACACACACGCTCCGGTGCGCCACACCACCTACAGCACAGACACACTCACTGTCAATCACAGCAAAACATGCCCAGAATCTATCAAATATGTGTGTGTGTGTGTATGTTAGACCGGCTTAATGTGTTTATGTGGTATGTTAGACTAGTTTAAGTGTTTATGTAGTTAATAAAACCTTACTTGTATCACACTTGACGTGTTCATTGTTTACTCATAACCGGAGTCAATAATCATGCAGATTTACGTTACAAACTTATAGAATTGTACAGTAAGAAGGTTATTTCCTTTAACCAGGAAATTAACGTTCTTAGAATTGACAAGACGGTTGACCCTGAGTGGTCAGCTAAATATCTACAGTGGATCTAAAATATGAATAGTTAATTATAACTAGTTATGGTTAATTATTCATATTTCCCCATGAGCTGATCCGCTACACAAATAATGTTCCTAGTCTTTTCTTCCTGCGGGGGAAGCATCCCAGCCAGAAACTACAATTGTTTACTATCAATTCAATGGAAATTAAACTAAATACAATTTATTGTGTAACCAAAATACCAATAAGTTTAAGTGTGACTTTTAATTATAAACAACCCCGAAATACACCGGGACTCTTATTTTGAAATATCTATACTATTGCAGGCTAAAATATGCATACTTACAGCAGTTTAAAACCTATTATATAAATATCATAAAGTAGACATTATCATAATTCATCAACTTGAGTTCATAAGCAATCGCTTGGCATAAATGTGCGCTATTCATTGACTGAGAATCACTTTGAAGCAGTCTGAACTCTGAAGCGCCGCCTTGTGACACTGCAGAACTCTTTTTTCAAATCTAGGCAAATCATGCAACCCTAGATTACAGTGAGTTTCTGACTATCTTTTTTCACTCTTTATCTACATGTGGGAGTGTAAGGAAAACGAATTTACAAAAGGAACAAACCATGGGTTGAAGAACACTGTAAAGGGCAAAAGCTAGAGGACAGGCTGACCTGGAAGATCTCTTTCAGGTCCTGTACCGTGGCCTCGAGCTTGATGACGGGAATCTTCCCAGCTGCCATCTGCTTACACCTCTGCTCCACGTCCAACAGAGAGAGAGCGCTACGACACACACAGCACTGCAGCTCAGCTAGATGTCACTACTTAGTTTAAAGCATCTCAAATAAACAGCAGGTAAAGTACAGTCGACTACTGGCTCACATCAGGGGCTGGAAAGGGAACAGACGGTGTTTACTTGTTTTGGAGCTGGTAATCACAGTACAGGCCCGTGTCAGAGACTCCCTCTCGACACACGCGAGCGCTGAAGAGATTCTCCATCACACTCGCTAACACACACGCTCCGGTGCGCCACACCACCTACAGCACAGACACACTCACTGTCAATCACAGCAAAACATGCCCAGAATCTATCAAATAAAGCTTATGAAATAGATAAAAAATAACAACATCATACTATTCAACATCAGCATCAAATATTAGAAAACTATTATTATTTGATATTTATGTTTTTAGGGTGAAATATTATTCAGACATGTTATTGAGAGTTAACTCTTTGAGACTCAAAAGCTGGCACCTGTCTCCCCTCCAGCGAGTCAAAACCCAGCAGCTGCAGTTCACAGTCCTCCACAAGAGGGCGACTTAGGTCCCACAGAGCTCCATTCACTCTGCTCGCCACTGCACCTTTAACACTGCAAACACACACAGATACACACATTATGGCAGAACTAACAATTAGTAACAACAGTCTAAAGCAGCACTTAAAATAAAAAATATGAAAATAAAAATAAAAATTAAATATTGGTGAAGGATTTACTTAATTATCTGTGAAATTTGCTAGCAATTTCTGAGTGAAAACAGCAAAAAAAAAAAAATTTTTATTAAATAAAAAATATTGGTGTAAGATTTAATTAACTCTGAAATTGAGCAATTTCTGAGTGAAAACAGCAAAAATAAATAAATAAATACAAATATTGGTGTAGGACTTAATTATCTGTGACATTTATTAGCAATTTCTGAGTGAACAGCAAAAAATAAATAAATAAATAAAAATATTGGTGCAGGATTTACTCAATTATCTGTGAAATATACTAGCAATGAGTGAAAGCTGAGTGAAAACAAGATACATACAAACATACAAGAAGATACTCACATTATGGCAGAACTAATCATTAGTAACAACAGTCCAAAGCAGCACTTAAAATACAAAATATGAAAATAAAAATAGAAAATAAAATATTGGTGTAGGATTTACTTAATTATCTGTGAACTTTGCTAGCAATTTCTGAGTGAAATCAGCAATAAATAAAAATATTGGTGTAGGATTTACCAAATTATCTGAGAAATATACTAGCAATGAGTAAAAACTGAGTGAAAACAGGATAAAAACTAAAAAGTAGTAGAAAGACTGTTTTATTTATAATCTGTTTTATTTACAATTTCATTAAATTATTTATTTTTTCCCTCATCTGGGGGCCTTCACCAAACTTAGTATAACTTAACTTAACTTAAAATAATTCAAATTAATATATCAATACAAAGAATATGACTAATATTAATAAATGTTTTTATTAAAATTTTATATATATATATGGGCTTTGAAAATTGTGTTGGGACAATGCGAGACCTTCGAGTCAAAAAGGTTGACAATTACTGCTCTAAAGTACGGTTCACAGCAAGTCAGGAGGCTTATATTTACCGTTCACTCTTGGCGATCTGTAACGGCGAGGTCACACCAGCTGACCCTTTGACCGTCCGGCCGTCAGCCAATCGGATGGTCAGATCCGCTCTCGATGCCTTGTGCTCCTCAGCAGCTTCAGTCGCAAGCCGATCACAGAGAGACTGTAAGATCCGCAAGCGCTGGGTCTGACAGGCAGACGGATGCAGCTGGAACAGAGAGAGAGCATGTAACCAGTCACTGTGCAAGCACTACCTCAGAGGTAAATATGAGGGAGGGCTGGAGATAAACCACTGGAATTCTGTAGTCTCAGACAAACTTTACAACTGTACTAAACTGAGGTATTTAATCACACGCACACTTTACATTTAGCAGACGCTTTTATCCAAAGCAACTTACAAATGAGGACACTGGAAGCAATCAAAATCAACAAAAGAGCAATGATATGCAAGTGCTAGAACAAGTCTCCGTTAGCTTAACACAGTACACGTAGCAAGGGGTTTTAAATAATATAATAAATGAAAAGAAAATAGATAGAATACAAGCAGCAAATGCATAGAGTGCAAGTCTAAAAGGGAGGTCCTAGTACTGAGCCCTGAGGCACCCCAGTAGCTAGATGTTGTGACTTGGACACCTCACCTCTCCAAGATACTTTGAAGGACCTATCTGAGAGGTAAGACTCAAACCACTGGCGTGCGGTTCCTGAGAAGCCATTTTCCAATAGGGTTGACAGGAGAATCTGGTGGTTAACCGTGTCAAAAGCAGCGGACAGATCCAGCAAGATAAGTATAGAAGACTTGGAAGCAACTGAGAGCAAGGCAGTCTCGGTCGAATGTCCACTTCTGAAGCCAGACTGGTTGCTGTCCAGGAGGTTGTTCTGTGTGAGAAAGGCTGAGACTTGGTTGAACAACTCGTTCAAGTGTTTTTGCAATGAAAGGTAGAAGGGAAACCGGTCTGTAGTTCTCTAAAAGAGATGGGTTAAGGGTCGGTTTCTTAAGTAGTGGGGTAATACGAGCCTTATGACTTTTAAACCCGTCTTTGGAAAAAAAAAAAGAAAAGAAAAAAGTAATACCTCAAGATCAGAGAACTAAATTAATTGGTATCAATGGCATAAATAGATCAGACTGACCACATACTGAATCTTTCATAACAACATACAGTGAGGCCCACAAATCTGAGACCACTACTGAAAATATGCTGCGTTAATTACATTACGAATTACCAACCAGAATTAGAATTAAGAATTGAACTAAAAATGAATTTGAATGGTCAGTGTCTCCTTTGCTTTAATGACAGCAGCACTGAACTAAACCTGATGATCATGTTCTCCAGCATGCTCTGAGATGATTCAGAAGAGCAGTCACACTTCTTATAATACTGCCTTGAATTAGATGTGTTTTCTGCCCGAGATTAAAATGAATACATGTGGTCTGACATGAATCTGTACTTGTACAATTTACACTACACTAGTCTTCACAGAGAGCTTTTCATATCTGCAGATATGAACACATGTACAATAAATAAAAAAATACATAAAAACCAAAACAATGCACAATACATAAAATGCATGCATACACACAAAAGTTATAGTTCAAAATGTATCCAGAACTTGCATTATCGCTTTATACAAAAGCTATGTTAAGCAAAGACAGCCTAAAACGAGTCAGTCAGATGATTGTGTCACACTGAGCATCACTGCATCATCTCCATCAGTCCTGCACACCTTCCCGTAGCTTCTGCTGCCGCGGACCAACGCCTGACAGACGCGCCGCCTCCACAACACAGCCACGAACATTTCACGCAAAGCTACGGCTCGTGGTTTCTCCTACAAACACCAAACGTTGCCCTCTCTCAGCGGGCCGCCATTTTCCCGGAACTACTACACCGTCACAGAACAAGAGCCCCGATTCGCCGAAAAATTCGAAGGAGGGCGGGCTCTGTGTGCGCAACAACCAATGAGAAGCGAAGCCAGACGTGCGTCACGAGCGTCCGCTCAGTGCGTAAGAAAACACATTAACTGAGAGCACTCTCCTGCATGCGAACACACGCCACATCCAAATACACGGACTTCACGGAGGACTGGAAAAACAGACAACGGTGCAGGTTTATGAACGCAACACTATATCGAACCAAAGCAAAAGAAAATATATATTTAGAGAAACAAGCTCAAGTTAAACCCCTCTGCTCCATCACTTGTGTCTCCAGTTGCCTGAGCACGTGCACTCACTACACCACCCTGTTATTGCTACAGCATCCTAGAGACGAAATGCACAACACACTTTTATATGTCTAATTGATAACTAGTGCACTAATGCGTGCTGTCTCCTGAAGGACACAGTATTGATAGGAGCATTCACTATAGATAAACAAGAGTTAAAAATGTTTACTATGCAGTAACATTTGAAGCTCAGTAATCTGACTCGCTGTATTGAACAGTTAACGCACATAAGTGTGTTTCAGACACAAAGCAAATGTGTAAATCTGATTTTGGTATCTGTTTGCATTGTATTAAACCACAGTCCTTCATCATTAGCTGTCTTTAGTTCTGTGCAAACACAGTGTAAACTTAAAGGTACACTCTCAAAAAATGCTGTTTTTTTTAAAGGTACATTTTTGTTACTTTTAGGTATTAATATGTACCTTTAAGTACAATTATGTACCTCTTTTTCCTTTCTGAGAGTGTACAGCGAGTGTTTTATATTTTCATGATCTACTGGTCAGTGAAAAGCCTAACATTGGGGAAAATGAGTGACCCTTCCCTGCCGGAGGATTGCTAAATTTACAAAACTAAGCCAAATTCAACAAGTGCACAATTTTGTTTCTTTCCAGATATGAACACCACAATCAAGTAATCACTGATCATCATCAGTGACATTAAATAAACTATACAATACTGTGACAATGTTTGGAAGCACATACAATTTCAGTGATCATTAAGGATTCCAATGTGAAAAATGAGGATCTCCTCCAATTGACATGACATCTGATGATGCTTAGCTGGATATGTGTGCAGAATTCCCTTTTAGTGGATAGGAATACACCACAACAACACGATATGTCGTTGGTGTGGAGAAATTACTAGTCTACTCTGTGTTGTCCCTAACCTCTGGAAGGATAAGTGTCAGGAATATAAATGCAAAAGAAAAGAAAAAAACAGAACTTGGGAGATGTAAACACAGTTGTTTAAATTTGCTGTTTGTTCAGTTTCTTAATACAGAGCTTACCATCAATCATCAATATCATTACTGTGGGGCCACAAAACTCAAGCCTGCATTTACCAATAGAAAACAAACTCTGTATTTGCAAAGAAAATTGATATGGTCCCGTTGCGCCTGTTTGAAGGTTGCTGCAGAACAATTAGGCACTTCAAGGTTTTGTTTTCTGAGAATAGTGCTGTACATTAGTTTGATTAACCAGTCTATCCGGACAGCTATCTGTACCTTTGATATGACTGAATGAAACCAGATTTTACTGCAAATTTGAGAAGTAAACCTGTGGTGCAGCTGGTACAAAACGCATAGAAGTTGATCGAACTGAAGGAGTGGCTCACAATTTCACATTTCTGTCACCACTGAAGACTCACTGCATTTAAGCATCCTGCAGATTCATTATGAATTTCATTGCTTGTGCATAACATGTTGATGTGCAACAAAGCTGGCACTGCAAATACTGTTAAATAAGTGTGTAGGTTCTTTGAAATACTCCTTGTGTAAAACACTCTACAATGAATGCACATGTTGTCCAAATGAAGACACCAAACCACGCTCCTCAAATATTCAACATTTCTGCACTTGAAGGAAACATTTCAACTATTTTGTTCTTACACAATGCATGCAAACTACAATGATGTACAGGTTGTATTCACATTTAAGTTGTCAAACATTTGTTTTTTGAAAAGCAGTGCATCAACATTGTTGTGAAAGGATGTAGTATTTGATTTAGTTTTAGGAACAATGCATTCTGAAAATGCAATGCATGAAAGTGTGGCTTGTGTAGAACACAAAGACAGAAACACACATTTTCAGTCGTGTGTACATGATAAAGGGTTAAACTGTCATAATCTTAAATCCTAGAGACAAAGAACTGACTTAGATTAACATTTCAGATTCAATGGGAAATTTAGAATAATTCAACCAAACTAATTCTTTCCTCAACTTTCATTTGAACCTAAAATTCAGAGTTGTGATTTCAAGCTCTGCACATTCCTGAAAAGGTTGGACATCAAGTTATAAGACTGAACAGAACTGCTTTTAAGTAAAAACAAAATGACAGAAAACAATCCAGGTACATTTGTTCTTGAAAAGAACAGTCTGTAAAGAACAGTCTCCTTCCTTTCAATAATATTTCTAGACACAATGCTTTTATTAATCAGAATACATGTAGGAACTCTATGAAGCAAAAAAAAAAAAAAAACACGCAAAGAGCTCTTGAAAAGCACTCAGAAACTACCGAGTAGTTATGCCTTGAACACTTGGTTAGCTTATATGCAATGTGAGCCAAAATCTTCACATCTTGGTGAAGGTTTATAAAGTGGCTGTATTTTTGCTTTATGAAGCTTAAGGATCACTACAAGCCATCATGGTTGCCTAGAATTACATCTTTGTCAATAATGTAATCACTCAGGAATAAAACACAGTTGAAATCCACTGGTTTTGCGCTCAAAGTGAAAGAGTAACAGAGGTTTCACAGACAGAAAACAGTAATCTGTAACCTGTCAACAGCAGAAACAAGTATTTACATGGGAAGAATTAGAAAAGCAAGTGTTATAGGGTGGAGAAGTGAAGGAACAGTTACTGGAAGGAAAGAAATAATCTGCGTATCCACTTACAAGTCATTCATATATCACACACACACTCATACACTCCATAACCGCTCTCTCACATTACACCAATTGAACAGGATAACCACCTTTTGCCTTCCTTCATATTCCATGGATGTTTCTGGATCTCCACATTCTCCTCCTCCTAGTTCATCTTTAGAGTATCTGAAAACTTGAGAAGAGCAGTGCTGTAACGTGGCTGCTCTGGGGCAGGGCGTGTCAGTGCATGTGTATTTACATGCAGTATACGTCTCACGCTGCAATTCGCAGGTGATGCTAGCTTGCTACACTGCCTATTTCAGGTTGTGCAGAGCATTTAGCACTCATTCTAAGATGCTAATATCGAGGGGGCAAGAACGGTCTTTTGGGTGGGTTGAAAGGCCCACCGCTGAAACTACCTGTGGGACGCTTTGTCCCAGGTAGGAGGGGTTCACGGTTACGGGAGGGGGGCGGTAGGGGCAGGGAACCTCTGGGAAACTGTGGGGAACGACGCGCGTGATGCTGGTTTGGTAATTGGAGGAGGGGCAGAGGAGGGGAAGGGCGGCGGGGTCTCTGATTCGGGGTGTTGATGGGTAGGCGGTTGGGAATAGACAAATGAGGATGGGGTTCCCCAGCTGGGGATGGAGGAGTAGGTGTGGTTGGGGTAGAGGGTGATGGTGGTGTGGGACTGGGTCCCTCTCGAATTCTGCCCAGGAGGGGTGGAGGAACTCCCGGGGTGCCAGGACGGTGAAGAGGTGGGGTGTGGCGCAAGACGAACTGCTCTTTCACCGTGCCTGGGCGAGGGGGATCTCCTAACAAGGAAGGGAGTTGGGGTTTGCCACCTCTAGGAGGGGCACTGCCACCGCTACTTCCATGCCCCGCTCCATCAGGATGGAGGTTGGCAGGTGGGTAGGGTAGAACTCGGTCTATTGGTACAAGGACACCACCAACCATAACAGTGGAGTTTGAGGAAAGGGGGAAGTCTCTGGAAGGAGGTAGGGTTTGAGGGATGGGAGGATGGGGTGGTGGGACTGGAGGAATGGAAGAGGGAAAAAATGGAGGGGGAGGATGGTGTTGAGGAATGCCATGAGAAGGTCGTGTGGGGTCTTCGTTTGCATAGGGTGGCGGTGGATACTGCAAAGGGGGTGGAAGGTGAGCAGGAAGAGGGGGAGGAGGAAGAGGAGGGACCATTCCCAACTCCTCAGAATTCTCATGGCCACGACTACCAGGGTGGTGTGGAGGCGGGGCTTCCATAAATTCCTCCTCTTCATACCAGGCCCCACCCACTCTAGAACCAGCACTGCTTCCTCTTCTCTGTACTCTTCCAACCACGCGGATGCTTTCCACTGTCTGGATGCGGTTACCATAATCATGGGTTTCGATTGGTGCTCCTTCACTGGAGGATGAAGTAACAACAGTCTCAATGCGATGGTAGTGGTCTCCATTGTCAGCTGAAGCTTTCCTTTCCTTGTCTTTCGTCCCGTCGCAAGATCCTTTACTTGGCCTACGGGAGGATGCACTTTTCTCTCCCTCACCATCCATCTTTGCCTTTATCTTCTGATCCTGCACCATGGCAGCTGATGGAATGTTCAAACCTGGTACTTTTCTCTTCAGCCCTTCTTCCTCTTTGGTTTTAGTCATGGCCTTGACTGGTTTAGTCACACTTGTGCTAAAGGCGGCAAGTCGTGAGGGTGGTGGTGTGCGGTAATCCCTGTCTTTCCGCTCATTTTCTCCCAGAGCCTCTCGTGGAGTGATCACGGCATCCCAGGGGTCACTGTGATAGGCTGTAGGTGAAAGGTTACGACCTCCAGACAGACCTGCACTCTGAGGCTCACTGAGTACATGGGGTGAGTCCATAATTTCATCTTGGGTGGGTGTGCTACCACTCTCATCTCGGACAGGGGTGCCATCCAGATTGTCTCCACCAACAAGGAGAGGGCTATTGCTGCCTACGTCGTCTAAGCCAAGTCCGAGAGCACTGAAACCAGGATTCCCCTGCAGGAAACTATTGATCTTCGATTCCAGGCTGGGCATTACCACAGCCTCGGTCTCAATTTCTTTCTCTCTCTCTTTCTTATCTTGTTCTCTTTCTT